TGTGGAAGCGGTTTTGGGTTTTTTTTTTCTTCGTTGATTACTGGAGTGAACTATAAAAAAAAACCGCACGAGATAAGAGCGAGCGCGGATGTCGTAATGGGATTTGGAGGTTTCCGCTTCCAATTCCAATCATCCGGAATTCCATTTCGCGCATTGTTTTATTTATTCTCATTTTCATTTTTCTGCGTTTTATTATTATTATTTTGTTTGTTTTATTTTTCTGTTCGATAGGGGGAAAATATAACGAGCGCTCGAATAAAACTACACTTTATGGTGATTCGAGGGAAAACGTATGCGAAATGCGCTCCGCCCTTCACCCTTCACCATCTCTCTCTCTTTCCAATCCACATTCTGCTGCGCCCCTGCAGAAACATCGCACATAAAGTTTTGCTCGGAACATCAATATGTATAAGTGCGTTTATGATATTGGACGTGTTTCCAGTTTACGAGACGCGAGACGGTTCGGATATTGCTGGGAGAGGAATAGAGAGATGTAGAAGGTATTCGAAACGATCATTTCCACCATCCACCCACGCATTTATGCAAGTGGTTCCACTCTTATGGGATAATTATAGTTGTATAGTAATATCGATGGGCAATGGCGTTGGTTGTTTTCCTGGTGTTGTTTTAGGATTGGATTGGGAGGCGGTGATGAGGGAAAGTGTATTGGGATGAATTATTCAGGAGATCCGTTGCGAAACGTTGCGTGCGTGCTATAGAAATTTGGGAATACCCTTGATAGAAACACTATCTATCAATAGTAATTCGATAGCTAAGAGTACTAAATCCACCCTTAAAACAGTATTAAAGTATTACTCGACACCGCACACTTCCTAGAAACAATATCCAAGATATTAAACTTTGAATAACTTTTATAATAAATAATCAATGATTAACTAACTAACGCAGTATTTCCATAATTACAGAATTCATATTCATCTTGCTAATGTAAATCCAGGAATGCAGTTGTAACTGGAGCAACATCAAATATTTAATAAGAATACGAAGCAAACACATATACAGGGTGGGACACGAATTTCTGTTATTTACGCAACGTTTCTTAACCAGTTTTGTTTGCAGTTTCTGTCAAAGATGACAGCTGTAATTGTTTATAATTTGGTGACATCTGATTTAGAACATTATTAGATCTTATAGTAAACAATTACTTATAAATATTTAAAAAAAAAAATAATTGAACCGTTATTTATGAAGAAATTGAATGTGCTCCATTGAAAATTGGCTTGTTTCTGAAAAAAAAAGTTGTTTCTCAATTTGTTAGAGTCTAACGATATTTCGTGTCATATTTCAAAAAGATCGGTAAGAACGGATAGGAGAAAATGCAAGATCAGTGATGTAATGTTGGTAGAAATTCCACCATCAACACTGCAAAAAATTGTTTTGCCATTCTCTACGGATTTCGACGTCAACTCAAGCCTATGCAAATTTTCCAGGAATGTTAAAATGCATATGGAGTGAATGAATCATCCCTTATGACTATTTCCAAGTGGTTTCGAAGATTCCAAACCGAGCATTTTTCTGTTGAGGACGAATCTCGTGATGGTCGCCCGAAATCTTTCATCGACGACATAAATGTAGGCTTGGTGAAGACAAAAATTGACGAAGATCCAAGAATGACACAGGAAATGGTAGGTGATGAACTGGGCTTGAATGCCATGGCTGTGTTGAGAATATTAAGTCATCACTTGGGCTTCACGAAGAAATCCGCACGATGGGTTTCAAAATTTGAAATTGGAGAGTCTAACCTTTAGGAAAATAGTAACAGATGATGAATCTTGGTTCTATAAGTACGATCCAGAAACCAAACAGCAAAACATGGTATGGAGCGCAGAAGGTGCAAATTCCTCCACAGTTAAAGCAAGAACACAAAAATTAGCAACAAAAGTGATGGTGTCAATTTACTTTACCAGGGCAAAAGTGGTAGCTGCTATCCCACTGAAAACTGTCCAGACGGTAACTGCTAAATGGTATACAGAAACTTGCTTACCACAAGTTTTCAAAAATTTGTTGGGAAACCAGAAAAAAAAGGGGATCTTCGTCGCTACCTTTTGCACCACGACAAAAAACAACAACTTTCTTGCGCTCTCTGGCGTCAATGAAATTTTCACAGCACCTCTTGTGTGATTTCTAGCTGTTTCCGAAAATAAATAAAAAATTCAAGGAAATAGTCTTCAGTTCGAATGAAGAGATCATTAATACAGTTAATGTCGAACTTGAAAAGCTCCAGAAAGACGATTTTGAGGAATGTTTGAAAAGGTGGTGGATTTAAGAAATGTGTTAAAATAAATGGAAATTATGTTGAGAAATTACAACAGGAAGAAAATGAAATATATTAAAATAAAATTGTGTTGTTTTCCAGCCAACTAAGCGAACTTTTGTTAAACCCCACGTATGATTATATAAGAAGAGTATATCTATATCTTACTAAAATAACCATGAACTCATTGAAAAAAGAAACGGTTCAAATCTTAAAATAAGTTAGGTTTCTAAAGTTATTAAGACACTCTTCATACCTTCAGATTGAATTCGCAAAGCCGCAGGTAGAAGCGAATATTACTATCATCGAATAACAGAAGGAGAGAGAGACAATCTCGAACACGCTGGGTAACATTTTCATGAGCTACTTAAACATTCGCGTCGGCGAGATTTTCAGTGCGAAACTTTTTCCGCAAAAAAAAAACTCTTTTTTTTTTTTTCGTTCCCTCTTTTGAATTATCTGGCGCATCCCGTCTCCTCATCTCTCTCTCTCCCCCACATTATTTCTCTCTTTTTATCTCTGACTAAACCCCATTCCGCTCACCCCGCCCCCCCAACGTCCCTTACATATTTTTGCGGTGCAGGTCATATAAAACCAGTGTCTGCTAGTCGTTCCGATTACAAAAATAATTTTGATTTACGCGCGTCCCGGGGATTCCCCCACGCCGCAGAAGAAGAACAAAAAAATATATATAGAAGAATAAAGCATATTAAAGTGAAACTAAATAAAGAACGGAGATTTATGAACGCGAAAAAGAAACGCGGGTCTTATTAAAAACTTCTTTCTTCGATTCACTTCTCACATCCAAACAACCAAAATTAGTTTTTAACAAAAAGATATCCTTCTTTACTTACACTAGTGCAGTGGTCGGTAAATTTATTAGACAAAGAGCCAAATATGAACATTACAACAATTAAATTACTTAATAAATATTTATTAATGCGAACAATGTGCTTGCATCTTCTTGGAAAGTTTGAGTATGTTAGGTTTGTATGTTGTTGCTCCTCCATGGATATTTGTGCAAAAGCCAAAGAGCCACATGCGGCTCTGGAACCGCACTTTGCCGACCACTTCACTAGTGTATGAGTATGAGTATATTTCCGACTGGAGGTAATTAAAAAGCAGTTAGAGGATTCGCGTTCGCAATGAGCGTAGTTCCCGCAATAAATCAATCTATATTAGCCTTTGTGCAACGAAAATAATCAGTTCTTCGTAATCCGCGTTATTTTTAGCCCTATCGTCGGTTATAAATAATAGCCACCATCGACTTCGCAGATAACTGTACGCTCTTAATTAAGACTGTCCGATGATTGTGTACGTGTGTGAATATCGTCTGGAAGATGATAAAATGGAAAATGGGGTGGAGGGTTAAAGGGGGTGGATAAGAATAGAGAGAGGAGAGAGAGAGGAAAACTTATCTCGAACTGCAACAGCAAATATTGAAGTAGAGACTCGCAGCACAATGGAAATGATTTATATGCGAACCTATCGAAGGAAAGTTCGCAGGAATACATTTATTTATTTATTTATTTTATTTTACTTCGAAGCAGTGGCATTCCCTTATTTGCGAAGCATTTTCCTCGAGAACGTATGCATGCATGCAATCAACGAAAAATTGGAAAACGCAATTACAACAGTCGTGGGATATCGAAATAACAGAAATTCCTACCTTTCCTCTCTTCTTCTCTTCACTTTTTTTTGTTCCTGCTGCATAATCTTAAGTAAACCGCAGTTGTCCATTGTATTCGCGAATTCGAATAATCCAGTCATTCAACCGCGATAGGAAACAATCTTATTGCCTGACGACACGTCAATAATAAGCACTAAATGATTGTTCTTAGAAATCTGACTCGGAATTCCGCATACAATGGAATCGTATACTTAAGAGTTATTCACATCTACTAGTACAATAATAACGCTGCTATCGCGTTAAATAGAATGACTCTTCACTAGAACAAAAGACTATTTGATTACGAGTCTTAAGATTCTCCAGAAGACCAATTAAGTTGAAAACCTTTTAGCAAATTCTATGTTCTTCCATTCGACGAGAATTTATCGTAACAACTAAAATAACCTAGCCTATTTGTAACTCATCTTTCATTCATCCATTAAAAAGACAATTAATATTGAATTCAATCTATATTTGAGAAATTAATTAATTAAAATTCAGCTTTAATTAAAGCAATCGAAAGCTTATTTATTAATTCATAATAAAAAAAATAAGCAAACGAACATTATTTTTAACAGAACAATTATTATTATGATTTATTACGAAACTCTGTAAATAAAATTGATTAAAAATTGTTTGTTATTCATCAAACTCCTGAAATTAGCAAATAACATATGAAATTGATTAAATCTATTTTAAATATTTATTAAATCCGATTAATTTCGTTTGTAAATAGGAAAACCTGAATGATATAACAAACAAACAATAGAACGTTTTGTTATCAAATTCTCTGAATAATAAATGAATCATTTATTAATCGTAATTATCAATTTTATTCAAACTGAGTGATTTAATATAGGCAACTAAAGTTTCGCAAAATTCAAATTAATTAAATTTGTGTTAACGTTTATTATTTTTGTACTATTATAAGGTTTATAATCATTTGTTAGTGTTTATCTAAGTTTTAATTATAAGTTTTAATTTTGTTAAAGATAACTTTAAGTTAATTATTAGAATATAGGCAACTTAATTTGCGCTTCGCTGAAGAAACTCGGTTGGTGTCAGTGGTTGTGTTTATGTCGTGTTTCTGACATTCAATGTCAGTTGTGGTTTTCTTTGTGACGATTGTATTTGTTGTAAGCACCCGAAAATGCGAGAGAAGGTTTGTTTGCTGCTCCTCGCTGTGACAAGTGTCAGGGAAGGTGAGTGAATTGTTTTTAATTGATTGGGCGTATCAGGAAATCTTATATTATTTACAGTTATATGCTCTGATTACTCGGTTGTCATGACCAGCGATAGTCCAATTGTGACTGGGGCCTCCATCAGTTTCCATGCCAAACTTTACAAAGGAAACCAGCTGGCCGAGGGTAACTACAGGTATGAGTGGATCGATGATGCAATCCCAAGGCACGCAGGCACTGTACGTTGATGATATACACTCATATTGGATTTGTAATTGGAATTGTTTTTTTAGTTGGATTCTGAAACTGGAGAGATTTCGTGGAGTGCAGATTTCTCGGATAAAATCCATTATCCACCTGGGCCTTACGTAATGCAACTCACCATTTACAAGGTGTACCTTTTATATCCATGGATGATTACTTCTCAGAGATTGATATTTAATTTAACAGGTAATTCGTTTTGTTTTAAATTTATTGATTTTAATGTTGATTTATTTTTAGAAAATTTGAATGGAAATTTGGAGTCTTATCAGAATCAGGTCCAAGTGAATTCTAATTTCGTGTCGAATGCAACAACGGTGGTGCATAAGGTGTCTCTGAAGAAGACGGATCAAGAATATCTGGATTCGACTGCAACCAAAGTTCTTACGTATTGGTTTATCGGCTGCGATTATTACGGACCTTCGGATAATTACGAATTCTCGAGGAATTATACTACGGTCGATGAAGAGTATACGGTTGGGGCTATTGTCTGGGCCACTTTCGAACCGATCCCGGTGACGACGACACCGGCGCCCACGACCACAACAATCAAACCAAATGCAACAACTGCAGCACCGACGACAACAACCAGCGTCGTTCCGAATGTTGCCAATGTGGAGAAGACGAGGCACAGAAGGGATTTGGAGAAGGATATCGTTGGTAAATTTCGCGGAAAGTACATGAGCTTGAACGAGAGCACGGCGTACAACGAATCGTTCCCGTTCTTCTGCAGCAACAACACCATCATCGCTTTGGGTCCTAATCTGACTTACGGGGTTTTCACCACCAAAGTCTCAGTGAAACGTAACTTTTCATTTTTAGTTAATTATTATTTAGTTTAATCGTTCGATATTTTTTCAGAGCCAATCTCTAATATCTCGGTGACTGGGAACAATTGGATCCGACACAGCGATATGCTTCAGCTGTCGGTCGGATGTCGCGGATCGTCCGGCTTCAAATACTGCTACAGCTTCAGAGATGGTGTGTACAACGTCACAGGAAACGAGACCTGCGACACTCAGAATCTCATAGAAAAGTGCCAATTCCCCATAAACAGGCTGTTCATCACCGATAACACGGACGTACACACCGTGATCATAATCATCAGCAATGAAGTCAGTAAAATGGTTTATCCAGTGACTGTCAACGTTTACAAAGGTATTATCCTCTTAAAAGCAATTCCTTTAACTTATTAATTTGTTTATTTCAGCTACCAAACAAGCTCAGCTCTCGGTGATTGTCGTTCCAGTCGTCTTCAGTCTTGCCGCCGTCGTGTTGATCGTCTTCGGCGTTGCATATTACTTCCAAAATCGGTCAAGGTAAATCCATGCACCACCCTTTCTTTATACATTTTTGTGCTATTGTTATTTTATTTTCAGGTTTACAGTTGAAGTGGCAGATTTCAATTTCGGACAGCAGTATGCCGATATGGAGTACAAGACGTTCTCGGAGAGGCTCAAGGATTCCATGTCAAATGCGTTTACTCGAGCTTCAATCCCCGGCGGATCCTTCGAGGAGACTGTTTGGCCCCCCGGTCACAAGTACGGCAGTATGACATAAGCGCTATGGGGGAAGAGGCTGAGAAATACTCGAGTCTATTCGGGTATGGACAGTACGTTATGTGATTATATATGATATATAAAAAGTATATTTATATTTTTTATTTTTGTAGAGTTTAAACGTTAATTGGCTGTATGTAAATAGAATATCGTTTTTATATATATATATATATATTGTATACACTTACTATTATCTCTATCAGTTTGAGAGTTTATAAATTATAATGTGTAAGGCCCGCGAAGTATGCAATGGCACTAAATATCTATCATATTTGTTTTCTACATAATTATTAAGAGAAGATGGATAAACCATGTTACTGCATATATAATACGTACGGTGCTCGTAGTTAGTAAATGAAATACTATTACTGACTTTGTTTTGCTGAATACAATTCAGGCTTTAAAGAGAGATTTCCAACACGAGATGTGTCAATTTCATCCATTCGAGAGAACAGGAACAAAAAAAAACTAATATGTATACGTTGGAGACGCCCAATGACGCGGATGAAATCAAATCAATACGGGATGTTCCTCACAAAAAATCAATAAATAGAATGAAAACATTGTTAATTGTATAACTTTTAGTAAGGATTTTATAATGATTTCTGCTGTTTTGATACACAAACTTACAATTTACAATGTTAGATATATATATATGTGTAGAGGAAGGGAGAAAAGAATCAACATGTTTTTAAGCACTAATTATTGTCATTAGTTTTATATTTTAATCTACTTAGAGAGGATGAAATATATGTACAAGGTGATACAAAGTTACATTATTGACCCGTCCCGTGTGTTTTTTTCTCTTTCTTTCTTCTGCACTCTTGATTAATTAATTTTTGTTGTTGACTACTGGTGTTGCGTTCTGAAATGATTACTTTTGAAGCGGGTTTCGCAACAAAATTGGCGCGATTACACGCATATGTCACTGGAATTGAATAGTCATTAGATCTCGGAATGGGCCGTGCTTCAAGGCTCGACGGAGATCCGTACAAGGCACTTGCTGTATTCCATTTACTTCTATGCTTTTCATAAAGTGATAAATCAATACTTTTATATATATATATATACATCTGTTCTAAAACGCATTTGGATTGTGCGACTTAATTACGTTTATTTTCAATTTTGAGAATATTTGTTGCGCGTTTAGCGATTCAATTACACCAGCGGTCGGGGAACTTTTTTAACCATTACCCCAAAATATTATTGCGTAAGTCTGAATAGAAAACAATCAATGTAAATTTTAAATAAACATTATTTATTGAATTAATTTACATATTTATAAAAAAAGTTACATGAAAATAGTAATAGACAAACAAAATAAAATTCTTAAATTGGAACAAACAAAAATTAATTGAAAACTTCCCCCTTCAGGTTTTGGAAAAATGATGTTGCTTCATGTTTGATGTAATTACTTTAAAATTGGGACTTTTTGATGTAAGAGCAATTTGAATACAGTCTTCGGCGTTTAATCGATTTCTGTTTTTCGTTTTTATGTTCATTAGGGTGGAAAAGCCTTGTTTACAAAGGTAGGTTGTTGCAAATGGCAGCAATTTTTTTATCGCCTCCTCATGTGCAATTTTGAAAGCCTTTACAGCCTTTGACAACCAAAAAGACGACAGATTTGCTCTGGTCTCAAATTGAATACGTGCTTCAATATTGGATGGAAGTTCAAGAATTGCCTCTGCCAAACCTGGAGGTTCTTCTGGTATGTTAGTAATTTCACATTTAAAAGGATCTACAACCCAATTCACAGTTTGTATATCAAGATCTGAAAAGTAGTCAGGAACCGCTCTCTGAGTTTGGTAAGATGAAATTAGAAACATTTTCATTTTTACCCCATTTTGGGTAATTTACCCCGGTTCCCCGACCGCTGCTCTAGATCTTTTTAAATATATGATTACGAAAGCGATGATTGCATGTACTGGGCAGGAATCGAGAGCCGCAGGAATCATTTTCCACGTGCAACCGACGATATAATATATATAGCTTGATACGCTAATTGCGAGAATTAATCGAATGCATTTCGCTGCGAAATTGCTATCCGCGTGGAATTATCGGTAGTAGTAGATACGGTGTGTGTATATGAAATCTATCGTATCTAGGATACGTTTAACGACCATCTTTATGGCAACAGCAACATAACTAACTGAAATGATTGCAAGAAATATGGCCAGAGGTAGTAGTCGGTCGTTCTGTCTCTCTACCAGTGAGAGCAACAATTACAAACTAATTTCGTAATACACTACCTGCATTTCAAATTACTATTACTACTACTATTAGAATATAGAAAACTTTCGATTATTTCCTTTAAATGTATTTCGTTATTGTTATTGTTGCTGTGTGCGTTAGTTTTCCGCGTTAGTTCGAGATGACCTTTTGATTAATGAATTTCGTTGCATGCTTAATAGATATATATACATATATACGAAGCGAAGTCGACGAGCGGATGCAACTGGTGAAGGTTTCACCTCGGAGAAGGTCTTGAACATACCGGTTTTGCACTGAGCGAATGAGAAAACGAAAACAAACGTTTTGTTCCATTTGAAATCAATTGAAATAAACGATTTTCCGTACCAAGTGAAATTATATATGAAAAATAACTAAAACTTTTTTGTCTTCGTCGCTGCTTAGGCCCCGGGGAGATTCGAACTCCCGATCTCCTGTTTACTAGACAGGCGCTTTAACCAACTAAGCCACGGCGCCGGTTCTCTCGCATCTTGACCACCGAAATCATCCGGACAGCGATGAAATTAAAATTTATTTACAAAAAATTAATGTTTCCGCCCGGGATCGAACCGGGGACCTTCCGCGTGTTAGGCGGATGTGATAACCACTACACCACGGAAACGTATACGTAACTATGGCGGCGTTCGGACCGCGTCGGGAACGTCGATGATCTGTCAAAATGTTTGCGCGAATTTCGATAACATCTTCGTCGCGGGGGTGGATCTGCGGGCCTCCGTGGCGCAATTGGATAGCGCGTTCGGCTGTTAACCGAAAGGTTGGTGGTTCGAGCCCACCCGGGGGCGCATCACAAATATTTTTGACATCTCCACCAACGAATCAAAAAAAAAAACAAGAGAAAGAAACAAAATAAAAAGTATCGTCAAGGTTACTTGCTGCTTATGAATGGATTAGTTTCTTCTTGTGATTGAAAAATGATGATTGATGAAAGGAGCAACAACAAAAAAAAAGTGTTAGAATCGGCCATGATTCGTTGTTGCATTATCGTGGTTGATAAGGTTAGATGATGATGGTCCTTGCGAATGTTTGTTTTCCGTCACACGCATTCGCATCTATTTTTCATCCTGTTTGTTTACTTATACGACGCAGTGTTGCGATTCGCAGTTCTTCCCTTTTTTCAAATAGATATTTGCTATACCGGAGGAAGGGGCTCTCAATCGGCCATGAAACACTCGTGAACTTGTTGTTTTCGTCGAGTTTCAATTTGTTTACACGCATAATTTTGAAGCAAAGTCATTGAAAAACAAACAACAAATGTAACAATAACACAAAAAAAATCTGGATGAAATTACCACTTTGTAGGTCATGTAAAAAGTGGTTAGATCTCTCTTACAACAAAAATGCAACAAAGTTCGTTTTGTGAAATAACCCTGAACGTTAAGAAGTTTTTGCATCTTCTCTTTCGATGATGATAATAATAATAATAACCCTCAGAGATGATGGACTTTGCTTTAATAACATAACCGTCTGACGGTCGCGTTTTATCTCAAAACAGCAAACATAACGGCATTCAAAAACCCATTTTTTTTTTAAATAAATTAGTATTATTGTCGAAAAGATAATAAATTGTGTCGTTTCCTGTTGTAAATAACAATAAAAATAATGGAAGATGTAGCGATAAACGGATTACCGTTGCCGAATTCAAATGTTAAACAACGATTTCCTTTTGATCTGAACGAAGGATATCGCCACGCAACACAAAAACAGACCAAATTTAGTGAATCCGTTTGCTTTGTTAACTCATTTCTTTTTAGATATGTGAAGAAGAAAGAATGTAAAGGTGGACGCAAAATGAAATTATCTCCACGGTGTAGAGAGAGAATAAATAAGCACTGACCTATTATCTAAGCATACGCACGTTAGATAGCCGCCAAATAATGGGTTCAGTTGTGCGTGCTAATTCGTCGAGTGCAGATGTACACGTTTCGTTCGCAATTCATAAAAAGTTTCGAAATTTTTTGGCGCGAATATTCCATTTCCAGATTCGATTTCGATGCTACTACCGGAAGGTAACCTTCAACATGTCAAACTGACACATCTTTATAATTTGACATATCGATTAATGTCAAACGTCAAAAAGGTTTTGAATCTTTAGATATATTTCAGATCTGTTTTGTCCATACAACTGTTGTTCTGTTCAATTCTGTCGCCGTCCTCTTTCCCTTGCAGCGAACGACCGCTTAAATGCCAAATTTAGAAAGGTGATGTTGGATGTTATGCAACACGCTGCATGCGGCGTGCAGAAAGCGACGAAAGCCGCCTGCCTCGTTCGCACGGCCTCTCTCTCTCTCTCTCTCATTCTGTCTTTGGCGTTGTTGAAGAGAGAAAATGCAGCGCCGTTGCGTAACAACGCTCTCCCTCCTCCAACCCTCGCGAATAGCAACAACAACAACAACAGCTTCACCATCATTATTAAAGCGAAGAATTCAATCGATATTCGACAGCAGAAGGAACTTTGTTCAAAGCGCACGAGGAAGAAAATATGCAAATTAGAGTGAATAATTGCGCCCTGAATCATCGATAATTAACATCGATCGATTCACTTCCTCCTCCTCATCATCATCATCATCACTCGAAATCATTCAAACTTTGATTTTTTTCTCGTAAATTGTAAAACATGTATCGCGGATAGAAAGACACCAAGAACAACGCATTTCTTGACATTGACATTTAAAATCGTAACGCGCAATTAATTAAAGAAAAAAAAATAGAAAACAGAGAAGAAAGAAAGAAATATAAAGAAATGAGAGTGTGCGTTAATATTCTTATTCTTATTTACGTTGCCGTGGGTTTTGGGTTGGTGCGTTGACGACGAAGCGAAGCATTGAAATTCCCGGCGCGGACGTTTTTCAAGTTTAGATTTAAAGCGCGCTCTCCGCCTGAGGTCAAGTGCACGGCGAAAATTCGGGGATTCGCACTCGATTCGCAGTCCCCGTTCCCCTCCACACCTCCCACACTCACACACATCGACGTGTACAGTTTCAAACGGAATTAAGAGTGCGCTGAAAACAAGCAAACAAAATATGTTACCAAAATGAATGGCGCGTTAGTTAATCTGTGAAGAAGTACAGTACGCACATGCACAATATCAACCGTTGAAAACAATATCATTAAATAACAAATGAATGGCGCGTTACAAAGTGTGCTTCGATCTCATCGTAAGCGCGCGCGCTTGCGGAGAAAGTATAAATAAAGGCAAACGTTATTGTATATTAAGTGCACGTACGAATTTCATCTCAAATCGTTCGATTGTTGCTGAACGCTCGCCAATCAGAAATCGTTGATTTATGTCAAATTCCAAACGATTCCCACAAAAAAAAAAGTAATTCGTCATCATCAGTCCACCCAGACATTTCCAGACACAATCATCAGCCGACACTCGAAAGATAACTTCAATATCAAGGTTGCATCTAATCCCTCAATATAGAATCTTATTTTATTTAATTCATTAAAAATTTTGTTCCATCTTGCTTCACTTAGTCTGACATTCATCTGACACTTGTTGCCTCCATTTGACATTCATCTGAAGCAACAAGTGTCAGATGAATGTCAAATGAAATGTATTCATCTTCTCGTTTTGTTCTCTAACATTATTAGCAATGTTCGGCGTTCGCCTTCAATTATCATTGATTTTTTTCTAAAAAGAAAAAAAAAATCGAAATGTGCAGCGTTATTCCTAATGCAATTTGTTGACATTGACGTTTGAAATGTTAAGGTTAAACCGCGTTCGAAATATATATAAAAAAATAATATATAGAATGAAGTAGCCAAACGAAATGTGTATTTCTGTGCTCACATTATATAAGTTGTAAGCATAAGAAAATGAGATAAATTTGCTAAATGCAGTTAGAAGAATACGCAAATTGTGCACAATACAAAAAACTTGTGTAGAATGAAAGAGAAAAGTCATGGGCCGGAATTAATAATGTGGGCGAAGCCCACCGAAAAATGTGAAAGTCTTGTGGATTTTCGTTTTCTTTTCTTTCCATTCTCGATTTGTTTCTTCTGTATTACTTTTTTTTTTCATGTATACGTGTATGTGATTACTATTATTCAGATTTGTTTCTCATTCTCATCCTAACGGCATCATCATCATCATCGTCACTCTCTTTTTCTCCGCGGATTTGCTTAACCCACATTCGCTTACACTTGAAACGACGAGTTTACTCGTCGACTTGCACTTTCCGACATCGAAAAACGTGTTTTAAAGGGAAGAATACGACGAAAATATCCGACTTTTATATTGTATTCGTCCCTTGACATTCTAAACCTGTCGAATTATTCATATGCGGAAGTACTGCAGCAGCAGCAGCAGCAGAAACAGTAATGATTCTTTTGAAATATCAAATTTGGACTGCGCTGCAATCGGCGTAATCTTTCGTAATGCCGTTAATGCATCACCATATACGACGGAATCGAACCGTGAGAGAATAAATGTAAAGACAAAATAATCACCTAACCGATTTTTGCTGGAGAGAATTTATGTAATTTATTAGAATTCGATGGGATTATGTAAAGAATGCCAATTTTTTTTTTGTGTGTCTTCAAATGTTTCATCAGGTGTAGTAGAAATGTGCATGGCCATTGCGATTAATGTAACCGGTGAGATAACACGATTGTCGGGTATATAAATAAATGTGCGTTCGGATCACATGTTATTATTACAGAGCAAAGTGGTGATGGTGGAGGAGGAGAGGTGTATTTTCTGGAGGAGAGAAGAGATAAAATAATATTTGGACGAATCGCGTTCGAGAGATCGGGACGCGTTATCAATGGCTCTGAGAAAAAACGAACCGAAAAATCTAGTCTACTAGTGTATGTATGCGTGTACTTGTATATATAAAGAGGGGAGAGAGAAAAATATATATAAAGTCAGTCTCTAGATGATTACATATATATATATATGATTATCGACGTTGATAAGAGCTAAGCAAAAGTGAACTTTAAACTTCACATTTTTTTTTTGTTTTTGTTATTTTTTGTTTTGTTTTAAATTTTATCTTTTGAGCCTACTAGATTTGTTCCCAGTAGTCGTCTGTTCCTTCGTTGTAACTTCCTGGAGGAACAATGATACACGAATAAGAAGGATATTCGGTTTATTGAGTGAAAATTGTTGTTTACTGATGATCGAGAATAGAGAATAGTTATAGTATATAGAATGGAGGCGTCGCATTAGCATGTATATATAGAATAAACATGACCTCCTCCTTCGTCTTTCTTCTGTATTATATGTGAGCGAGGCAGCAGAGAGACATTTTCAATGCTAAATTATAAATGCTTGCCCAAGACCTTCCAGCGGAATGGTTTCGGTTTGCCGGGCGAGGGCAAGATCAGCGCAACGACGACGACAACAACAACAATATCTTTGTTTCTTGTTTACGAAAGTTTGTTAGTATGTTAGTAAGTGTGTGAGAGAAAGGGAACGAACGGACGGACGGACGACTTTCACCGAAAATTTTTTGGTGAAACGACAGTAAAAATAAATATAATAAAGAAATGGAAGGAAAGATTAACGCTTTGAGTTAAGTGCACGAAAAGCAAGTGAAGACACCCCACTCTGAGCGAAATGAAGAGTGAAAAGATGGGGATCGTGTGTGTGTGTGTTTGTATGATTTCTTTGCCCACCACTTTTGATCGTCGTTTTCGTTGTCTTCGTGCAATGCAATAATCTACAGTGAGCGAACCGCCGCACCGTATAGTTCGTGCCCTACTTTGTACCTGGTGGGTAAAGGCTGTGTGTGTGGTGCCTGACTGCCGCCCGCCGCTCGCTGCCTGTCTCCTCTCTGCCACTCTTGACTCTCGTAGCTCTAGCTAGCTGTATCTGTAGTACTACGAATACAGTTAGCGCGATAGGAGGTTCGCGTTCTTGCCCACACTTCTGG